AAAAACGTGGAACTGCTTCGAGGGCCCTCCGCTAAGGTGGCGCGCCGAAACCAGAGAAAAATTGCCTTCACCAAAAACAGGCTCATTGGCAATCTCCCTACTCATCTCTGGTTTTGGCGCGTCGACGCGCCGCCTGAACGAGACTCTCGGACTAGTTTCTAAAATTGCGACCACCAAAAACAGGCTCATTGGCAATCTCCCTACTCATCTCTGTGTGTAGTGGCACGATCTAGGAGTATTTTCTTTTGAGTGGAGCTTGTTTACTTCAGAGGACGTAACCTTTGTCTTCCGTTTGCATTTGTGATGTAACGACCTCGATCACTGTTTTGCTGCAAAACAGTGACCAATAAACGAAGAGGATTGAGCTCGTGACGTCACAAATGACTTCCGAAGCATCTTTCCCATTGGTTGCTGCCCGCTGCCTTAGTCTCAATGAGCCTTTTTTTAAAGCATGGGTATGGCTAAACCTTTCGATCCTGTGCCACTCGCTTTATAAATGAGGCTGATTCCCCATGCGTAGTCAATTGCGAACCCGCAATTCCGTTCTATTATCTATCAGAAAATTAACGGCGATCCGTGATTTGCTAGCACAAGTTTTGCGATACGCAAAGTATGCTCCATGTGACGGCAGCCTGAGCCTTCATGCAATTAGTTTCATGGTAGAAAAACAACCAACCCGAAAACCGAAAACCGAAAACCGAAAACCGAAAACTATCTCTCGTTAAAACCGAAACCGAAATATATTAAGTTTAAAAACCGAAACTGAAAACCGTAAACAAAAAATGATGAATTAGAAACCTAAAACCAAAAACTAAAACCGAAATTCAAGCATCTTACCATTCCGAACACCGTAACCGAACCGCTATTTCTTTCAGTTGCAGTCCCTGCTTATAACGATAAATTTGTATCCACATTACGTCGCGGAAAAATGATTTACCACGTGATCAGGAGTTTTCGTAAAACTTTTAGTTCGTCGATTACTCGCTAGATGGCGCCAAAGTCGAATATATTTGCCAGTGACACTCGCAATAATATTTATAAACAATAATGTGCACGTTGCACATGTTTAATTCGTACCTAGAAATGTTTCTATTCCTGTAAAATGCGCCACGCTTCGGTTGGCATTAATTAGCTAATTTCCAGAAACCATAAATCATGTCTTACGCACCATTACGGTAGTGAGTACGTCGTAAAACGTATGAAACATCATGTTCGCCTATTAGTTACCTAATTGAATACGAATGCATATAATAAATTGTATTCTTTTATAATAATCTAAGCCATTGCATTTATCTCATTTACGAAGCACAGCCATGGAACGGCCATGGAATGTTGTCTGTAATCAAGTTGTTATTTTATATATGTTTTCCGTCTCATATAATTTCCAACATTAATTACACACTAAATTATCATATATATATTTCTCCCCCTTCTAACACGTAATAAAACATGGGATATGATTAAACTGCTTATGGATAACGGAAGAAACAAAATATATATTTCAAAAAGCTCATTTTAGCAATACCGCATTTATCGTTAACACGTATAATGAATTCGATTCGCATTATGCATAGCGAAAATACTATAAACCTAATCTCGAATGCTTATATGAGATTAAAAATTAATATCCTTTTGACGTAGAGCTTTTACGGGCTTTTCGCTACTTTCTTTTCCCTTTACCTAAAAGGAAGCACATACATATGTAATATCACGCCTCACTTAACAATTGTAATAGCTTGTAACGCGATCAAAAAACACGCCAACCAACATTCGTCGAGGTGTTGTTGAAAAAGTTATATCGAGTTTTTATTTCGAAAAGTGTCACTAGGAGGAATCGAATTCGATTATATCGGAAACTTATGGATAGATTGATGGATTCTTGCGTAACGTAGGTCGACTAACTCAAGTAAGCGTTGTTGTTATACTCACGTAACCTCTAGTCCACAAGTCGAGCATTCTTCTTACGCAGCACATTGAATTAAGAAAATCTGTTTATCATAAATGTAAAACACATTGTACTAGGGAAACAGGAAAATCCTAAACAGTTCTGTTGTTTTCGTTTGACGTAGAGGCACAAAGGCTTCAGACAAATGGAAAATATATCACAAATAGCCTCTTCCATTAGGTAATCATTCCAAACAATCGTGCAACTTAAAATCGATTCTGTCATAGAAATCAAATGAACAGACTAACTTGGCTTGTCACGTTTACCTCGAGCAATCTGTATAATATACATCAACGTTCATAAAGCCAAAAAGTGACAGATACTTTAATTGCCGACTACAAAATTAAACACTGACAATCGAAACTCGTGCTTCCATCTAGCGGTATTTTTGGAGTGTCGCGCCCGTATCGTAATCTAAAAATATACTTCTCACTTGCAATAATAACAAATACATGAAACTTTAATGAACTACAAGAAAGATAATACTAACCGTAGACCCATAATGGATAACTCAGTCACCGCGCTCTCGTTCGAATTTACCGACCGTCACCAGCCCATGCGAAGTATGTAGTTGAATTTTCCAGCCTATAAACTGCAGAAGCGATGCCAACAGTCCTGAAGCTTCTCTCGCCATCCAACAGATGGCGCTGTACGAATCACAAAGAACAACTAACGACGCGGTTCTACGTATTTTATTAGTCAAGTGTTGTTACGCGTACTCACGGACTTACGCGGGCTTTCGTTCGCCCATTCTTCCAGCCGGGGAGGTCTGATTCGCGGGTAATGCTTCGCGTTACATAAACGTCAAACGTTGTACGCCCGGTGCGCTTACATAATTCGAGGTTTGAGGCAGCGCACCATGCCACGGTACACCAAGGCGCAACATAACATAAAGGTTCGGCGTAAGCGAAATATTTACACGCTCATATAACCAAGCTCTTACGCGCGATGCTTATGTGACCCTCTCGTACCAGACTCGTCCGGTTACAAGGTAAGAAGAGCCGTTTGCGTAACGTGCTGGACGTACGTTGACGTTCAAAGTCGTGTCCGAATTTATAAGAACGTCACAAAGATGCGTTTACCCGATATCGTTAAAAAGAGTGTAAATTTTTCAACCATTTTAGAAAAGAATTGTTTTACAGATATTAGTTGCAAGATTTTTCACACTTTAACAGCTGCTGCCTTGTTGCAGATTTTTCGTGTTTCAACGAATTTTCAGATCTCTCGTTTTCTCTTTTTGGACATTGGAGATTAATAACAAATAGGCCTCGTCAGCAGTATCATTCTTTCTTTTTTTTTTCTTCTCATAATCTATCTTACATAACGGCAGTAATGTAACCAAATGTATGTAACGCTTGCATAAGGCAATTCTCCTACCAGTCCTACGTGGCGCGCCAGCATAATCTATTGTTTGGCAATAGTTATAGTTCGTTGTGTAACCAACTAATGGAAGACCATTGATACATGCTGCAGGTTTTGGCGATACGACTTTACCCGGTTCGCGCATCTGGCACTGTCCTCTTTATCATTGCTCGGATAGCTTATGACTACGGTAGTCAAGTTGCGACCTAATCCACCTTGGACACAGCTTATATACCTATTACATAAAAAATTATATTGCCTTACATCACATGATATTTACTAGTGTACTCAACAACATTGTAGAAACTAGCTAATCGCTTCTCGAGTAATTCCATATTTAAAATTTTCGTATCGTTTTCTTTTAAATTACATCTTTTTAGTGAAAGGTGAATATGACGAACTAATTTTGTGGGTTGTTATTGATGGTTGGAGATTGGTAAATATTTTGACAGTCTGATATCGTATGGAAAATTTACATTCTTATTTACTTCTCTGGTACTGTTGCTGATTTTTCATTGTTTGTATTCGATGTAATCTATTACTCGTGGTTGACACTCGTTATTCGCAAATGATATCAAGATTTTCGGATAAACGCTTTTTTTTCTTCTTAATATTGTCTGATTTTATTTTTACTCCTTTCGCGCTTTTTTTATATTTCTGAGAAATTTTAGTATAACCAAAGACACGTTATACGAATATTTTCAAACTTGGATTTCTCATAATTTTCATGCGTATAATTAGGCTGAAATTTTAATTCTAAATTAACGGGACTCCTTTACACTGTACGCCATAAGATGATGGCCCTTCAAAATGGAATCGATGTCGCCCGGTTGTAGAAGGTATTCAAAATTTTCTGAAAGTATCAAACATTTTTGTCAGCCAAACTTCAATCTTACGTAAACAAGATTCAGCACTATACATATTTATATAAATATATAACAAACTATTTATTAGTTATTAACACTGGATATACTGAAGATTTTTGTTAATGGCAAATTTAAGTTAACCCTCTATGGGCCGAATTTTTCTTTTAACTCCAAAAATCAAAAATTATAAACCTATATATGCAAATGAAAACAAATTTTTGCGTTTAAACAATTTTATTGCGATATATTCACTATGTGACTTTCAAGTCACACCGGCTTATAAAGTTATAATTATTTTGTAAAATGTCGATAAATTAAGATGTGACCTGAAAGTTACACGGGCCCATAGAGGTTTAAAAACAGTGAAATTGACTGATGATCGTAGCTCTGGTGTTAAATAGACTTTCAAGGATTTCAATTTATTGTTTAATATCCATTATCATTTTATTTCGATTAATTGCCTTGTAGATATTTATATTCTTAGAGTTTCTATAGTCTTTCGCTGACAGTCACAAACAGCCGTCAACGTTATAATTAACATTCAATGACTTTTGACATTAAATTGAATAATTACGAAACACGTTCGAGTTATAATTTACGAAAATTATACTAAAACACAAGTCCAATCAAGGGTTTTATAACCACAGGTATACTAACAGTTATATAAAATACACCCTATAATATATATTATTACTGTTACATTACGTTCTATTTCTGTTATAGATGTAGCGAATATATAACCATTATATAAAAATGTTACGTATATGTAAGATACAACATACAGATACTGTGGAATACAACACTTATGATTATTTGTTATGTTTCAGGCCACTTTAGATCCCTGCATAACGACCAAGTCAGTTAATGAAAATCCCATGATAATTGTTACCAATAAGAAACAATATGTATGGAGATACGTAACATTATCTATATGAGGTTAATTCAATAATAACCCATAGCATTATTAAAATTTGATGCTCGTGGTCGATTCCTGCGATTTACACAAAGTAACACTTAAAAAACCACGTGACGTATTTTTATTTAATTACCCTTTAAAAATTATCATAAACGTTATAACGCAAACGCATCACGTTAAATTAAACTATTTGATTTTTATGGCAGAATCAAATTCAGTTGGTACGATTATTCTGTATAACCTTATATAGATTTATCCAAAACTATTACACCAACTGAAATTGGGTGCACTGACTGACTTCAGTGTGATATTGTAGTCTGAATAACCAGGTACACCTCTTTTTTTATATTGTTCATCTATTTGATTTAGACTTTACAATCAGTTGAGTTCAAGTTCTAGAAACCCTATAGTGGGATTAGTCGGAATAACCCTATAAACCTATAGAGCCTTTCAGAAATATTGGACCAACTGAAGGTTGTCACTTCATTTGATTGCATCTGTGCTGAATGACCCAGTAGACAACTTATAATTCACCTATGTTAAATATCGCGAAGTTGTAACAGCATGGATTAATATTTTTAATTTATATTTCAAAACTACTAGGTATTTTTCATGAGGTAGCGGAACTTCAATAAGGTCTAGTCGCAAAACGGCATTCTTCTTCTTTTCTTATAAAATCCTAATAAACGGTGTTGGGTGCCAGGTATCCTCTAGCGGGATACCGCGAGTGGGTGGCACTTTCTTTTACTTTGGTTCTAGGTCCCGGATAGTCAGCCAAAAGAAATCAATCCTAATCGATACGCAATTCACTAAACCTAACTGGAAGACACTATCAAGCAAAAATCCTGTTTCTCAACTTAGCCTGCTTGATACTCGGACGCAAACACTGTCAGGTCAGGTAGCGTCCTGTACCAACTGAATCAAAATCCGAATGAGGCATAAATTCCAAAAATTGTAACTATGATAATTACTCTAGAGGCGGGATCACGAACCCACAAAATAAGAAGAAGGATTAACTCGTTGAAACCAAAACGATAAAGCTGGTTCGATTACTGGTTCAGCTCGAAGAGCGTTGAAACGTACATGAGGACAGATTAGGTGGAAGATGGAAGCGAAAAGTAAAGATAAAGCAAAAGAAGATAATAGAAACGCACGGAAACTGTATTATGTCCTAAGAAAAGTCATCCTATAGAAATCAGGAATTCCATAATCCGTGGGATAGGTGTAAATTTATAATGCGAAAAATATTACAAAAAAAAAAACATTTACAAAATAAAAATAAGAGTAGAAGCCATCCAAAGTAAAGATTTAATATTACAAGAAAGAGGCAAGTAAAATATTAAGGAATGTGAGGCGAAGGGAACAGGCGGGTAAATCATGAAAAGACAAATTGAAAGAAAAATAAGATTTATTAAAAAAAGTTTCTATGGGTAAGTTTCACAGCAGATAAGGTGAAGGAAATGGTTCGTATTAGGGTTGATGAGAGAAGCTGGCAGGATTTTATGTGAAACAAGTATAAGAATATGTTTTAAAATAAGTGTAAGTGTCTGTGCAACGTATGGCAGACCGCAGTAGTACAGTAAGATACCATACATATGTCAAGCGAGATGAGGCAGGAGCTGATCCCTAAAGCATCCGATGGAAGGAGCATCTTGGACCTCAGCTGGAAAAGCGTTCCAAAAGTACGGAGCAGGCACGCGAAAGGATTGCCTGTATAGCTCACTGTGATTCTTATCACATCCTTGTCATTCGTACGTAAGAAGGTACGAATGATAAGGATGGGAACAGGCGTGGACATCGCTTAATAATGCCGAATAAAAATTTTTCAATCGAAAATATGCAAAGAGTGTAATCAGGAAGCTAAATTTTGAATAGCAAATAAATTTTCGAAAATGTCGATTACGGAAGAATTTTTAAATCTTTAACTTTTCAAGTACCAATGCCGTGAATATACGTCGCTCTGTTTTTGCCTCATCAGTTCAGTGACGGATATTTACGGCAGGATTCAACGCAAGAACATTATCAACAAATACAAAATATATCACTGGCTGGGCTGCCGTGACCGATTCCTGTTCCAGGTACTCCTGTGCCAGGGTCGAATTAAGTGACTACGTAGCAACTTGCTGTGCGACATGCTGAAATCTTCATTTTCATCGGATTCCCCAGGATACGTACCCGGTTCACTGTGGCAAGGTCGGTCCTCCGGCGATATTCATTGCTGGCCAAATGATCAGTAGAGGTGTAGCTGGATGGTAGGGTGCATGAAAAAGATGTAAAGTGAAAAAAAAAGCAATTAATAGCTGTGACATGACAAAATTCCGAAATTATCTTGATCAATTCTAGTAGTACCCACGTGTACCAGTCCTGATTAATCCTTCCTTGACCCCATTTTTCTTGCCGTAAGAAATGAATACCTATCCTGTCGCTTAGACCAGGCGCAACCACAGATTAAGCAAAATTCCTAATGTATACCAAGATTTTCAAATCACAAAATGTACTAAAAAGTAAAAAATTTCAATTATCAAAATTCTCACGCATATAACAACCCGTACAAAAAAAACGTCATCGCAAATTCCCCAAAAAATCCTGATCAAATTCAAAATATTACCTCTAACATTGTCCCAAGCCTCTACACATTCTCAAACAACTAACCGGTCTGAAGTATCTAGACTTTCAGTATAATTAAGGCGACACACGCGCCACTGATGTCACCACGTTTCTTTTAGGTATAACGCAAAAGAACTATAATCGGATGTAGGTCAGTAGGTCATTTACTAGGAATAAGTCAGTCATAAGTCGATCCTGCCTATTTTTAAAAATTTAATTTCCTTTATTATTACAATTCAAGAATCGTGAACAACAAAATACTCAAAAATAATCCACGATTTAAAAAAAGTAGAGCAGCAGATTCGCACAGCCGGTACCAAATATCCAAATTATTAAAAATTCAAAAGAACAAGGCGAATTACAACGATCAGATTCCTTCGTCCCGCCTAAGTCTGCCCACGCGTTCTACCCAGGTACAATGTTCTACCAAGCTACAATGTTCAAAAAGATTACTCCCACTTGTATATTACATAAGATCCCTAAGTAGACTTGAGGTACTTTCACGTACGATTTTTGCCGTCATTGTAATAAGCCGGTAACCGTATTACACCACTTTACTCAGTCAACCGACCATATGGAACAAACATTGGCCGCGTGTGAATGCGCTTTGTTGTCCTCGCCTGTGCGAATGGAGTCACGTCATAGGTGGACTTTTGAGCTGGTGTGTACTTCGTGTATCTGTGTATCTTACGAAAGCATGAGATATGAAAAATATTTGAAAAAAAAATATATTCACGATACCTCTTAGATAATTCATAAATGGCGTCGATTTTATTCTGAATCATATATTAGTACAGGTCTGATATCATGCAGAGATTGATGGGTAATTATTAATATTATCTATCGATCTGTAAAAAGCCATATGCATTTATGATAACGTAATCTTTTCCTCTACACTCTGTAATTACTCGGTTCTCTCCTTTTTCCTTACTCCATGTGTCGCGCTGCGTTAATAATTCTATTGATAATTGATAATCACGTAAAATAGTCGATATGATTTTCATGATTTATTTTCAATCCTTTTATACTGATACTGTGGTATTGCGTTTTTACGGCGAATAAATATATATGCATATACACATATGTGTATGGCTTCTCACTGATTTTCACTTTTTTATTTCTGACGTTGCGACGATTATTCAAAACAACACCGATTACGTGATTCGGCGTTCTACATCTGCATCAAGTTGTCCTTACGTATCTACGTCCCAACGTGACCAGCTGGAAGCCATTGCTACGATTGATCTTGGAGGATTTTAAGAATTTAACCTTTCTTCAAAAAAATATACGTACCATAATACCACGTAACGATAAAACGTAATGAAGGACCGGTTCTCAAAAGTTACGCAAGTCTACGTATAGTTGTTTTGATGTATTTGAATATCCCGCCCTTAGCTGCCACTCGGTACGTCAATCGAGTAAGACCAGTTCGCTGGTACTCTTTAGATAATTTAAATGAATTTCAACGTGTTCAAAGGGGCGAGACGTCCGTTTGTAACTTGGAAGGACGCAACTTTATTGTGCTAACCTAATCACAATGGATATTGTAATTAACGAGTTTTAATGAATGTTACGAGCCGTTGCCGGTTTCGACATAAAAACAGGATACGAGATAGGGCGTTTTTGTTGTTGTTGGCAGGATGCATTTCTTAACCGCCGAAATTAGATAGCGCGATAATATATGAAATGATAAATATAATGGGCAAGAGGGGGGTCGATGGTTTCGTAATACCGATTTTACAAGATAACGTATATATAAATATATATATTTATACACGTTTACTAAGGAGATACTTTGGGGACACGAAAAATCAAGGGACGTTCACAATAGCAAGCTAATGTTTTTTTTTTTAAAAAAAAAAGAAAAGGACTACCTTGGGACGTCACAGCATTGGAGTTCTGACCTAACCTAACCTATCGAAACATTTCTAATATCACAAATACTGGATGAATAACATTGAAAAAATATAAATATATTTGGTGTGACAGTCTACTTTATGGTCCTCCAAGCAGTCGTTACGCTGGAAATCGTTTGAGGACGGTCCCCAAATCCTTAAACTATACGTTGTATAATGCAAATTGTCCCCAAAGTATACTTTTAATATAAATATATATATATATATATATATATTGTATCTAGTAATTTTCTTTCGGCCTGCATTTGATAGTCTGATTTACATGGTGTTTATTTAGTTGTCGTAACATATTAGCGAAACGCTTAAACAACTGAAAATTTGCATTAGTTGTATAATCCAAATGGATTTTGTATGAAGTTCATCGATTACCTCGTATATTGTATCTAGTAATTTTCTTTCGGCCTGCCCAAATCCTTAAACTATACGTTGTATAATGCAAATTGTCCCCAAAGTATACTTTTAATATAAATATATATATATATATATATATATTGTATCTAGTAATTTTCTTTCGGCCTGCATTTGATAGTCTGATTTACATGGTGTTTATTTAGTTGTCGTAACATATTAGCGAAACGCTTAAACAACTGAAAATTTGCATTAGTTGTATAATCCAAATGGATTTTGTATGAAGTTCATCGATTACCTCGTATTCTGAAAATATAACGGGTATCGAAAAAAGTATTAACGACGCCGATTGACTTGTAAATTATTTATTCGTTTTCACGTTCATTAAGAACAGAAATTTTGTACAGCATTAAATTCAATTTTACTCAATACTTTTATCGGAGAGTCGTTCGATGCCTGTTATTATTTTAAAAAATTCTCTTGCCAATAATATCTTGTCTGACGGACGTATAGGTTTTGATATTTTGCTTTTTCCTTCTGTCGTCTATCTCCGTGCAATTTTTGCTGCCCCATTGCCTGTACTTAAATTTTGCAACGATATCGCAAGACTGAACTCGGCAAAGTTAACGGGACGCAAATTTGAAACCGGTTGCCTTTGAAACAGACTATACTCGCGAAATCATCGTCTTCGTGTTTACTTAATACACCTATTTTTTTAACTTTTTCAAACTGATACTCGATAACGAAGTAAGATGCAAAAAAAGTATAAATAATGTATGAAGATTTAAATATTTTAAAAAAGTTCATTCAACAATTTGGAATATCACTGTTCAACGATCGAACGAATTCAAAGATCTATAGATCAACTGTGGTATGAGGATGTGTTAATTTTCTAATTTTTTTTATCGATTTGCCAGCATTGACATGCGACTTATTGTTTATATCGATATTTTCCTAATAGAATTTTAAAGGGTCACCGTATATGTATATTATCATAGAGACCATTCATAATTAATTGGACCACGCCTTCCAGATGAGTATCTGTCAAGAAATAGCTATATGAAACTGGCTGCTGTCCATAGCAACGACATACTTATCTTGCTGGTTACCGATATTCATAGATGCGTAAATCCTCATATATATCTATATATATTAGAATGCTACTTGAGAATTATGCGTATGCAGCTATGCGTGCCTGCCGCGCGTTCAACATAGCTGAACGTAGCCGAAGGCAATTTTACTGAAATAACGGAATCCCAAGTAGCAGATATGTAACTGACAATAAGTATTTACTTGATTTCTTGGAAAAATCATTATTATACATTTGCATGCTTCACGATCTTTTACCTTGAAACATTAGGTGCGCATGCGTTACGTATATAAAGATAATTACGATCTTCATATTTTCCGCTTCAAGTGCAAA